GATCTCCTGATAAGACAAGGCCAATAACCTTGAGCAGCAGCGATAACAAACTGATCTCGGCCGCCATCAACGCGCCTATGGGCTATGCTTGCCAACTATCTTGCGTGGACTTTCAGCGCGGCTTCGTCAAGAATCGCTCCATGAGTCAGAACCTTGTGCAGCTGGAAGGTTATGTACTTCACTGGCCGGTCCAGCGTGGCTTTGTTGGTGCGGGATTTATCTTGTTTGACTATGAGAGCGCTTTTCCCACATTGGCGCACGAGTATATCTTCTAGGTTTTGGAAATGTTAGCAGTTCCTGCGCATATTCGTGCGAGTATCAAGCTGCTGTACCACAATGTGGGGGTATCTGTATCATTTGGTGGAGCCCGTGGCGGACAATTTGCCGTGAATCGTGGTATCAAACAAGGATGCCCTTTATCGGGCAGTCTGTTCGCATTGGCGATCGATCCTATCCTTCGCATGCTTGCTGATCGCCCACCCGCGAGAGTCAATATTTTCGGCGCGTTCGCCGACGACCTAGGAGTGGGATGCGCCGATGTCTTCGCTACCCTTGCCGCCGCGCTGCCCATTCTGAACTTCGGCACTCGGGCATCAGGCTTGAAGCTCAACCTCGCTAAGACAGTGGTCATACGGCTCCTGGGCGCCACCGACGGGCACATCCAGCAGAAGCTGCTTGATGCTGGATTCATGCCGTGGTCGTTTAGGGTTGCGCAGTCAGGCAAGTACCTTGGTGTCATCCTTGGACAGTCTGGCCACCTCGACAGCTGGATTGCACCCACCACCAAGTGCATCAGTCGCGCACGGGCCATCAAGCACGTGTCCCTGGGGCTCGCCAAGAGCATCGCGCAGTTCAACTCAGTGGGTTTCTCTGTCTTATCGCACGTCATGCGGTGCTATCGCCCGTCTCCTGAGGCCCTGCGTGCTGTCGACACTGCTGTGCAAAATATAACGCCTGCCCCTCGCAACGCTTTCTCGACCGGCATGCTCACTGATTTAAAAAGCTTGTGGTTTCCCTGTGAGGTTGGGGACTTCCAGTGCGTTTCCCGCGCGGCCTTGTTTAGGCTGGCCTGTACCACTCCTGCCTTTTTTTCGAAATTCGGGACCTCCTGGATGGTTTCAGCGATTCTGACGATTGTATTTATTTATGGCGCCATCATTCCTGGTACAAGTCAAGCAGGTTCTCTCATTTGCTTGACAATTATTTCGCTCTCACTGCCATCCCTCATGTGCCCTCAGTCGCGCAGCTTCGAATGCAAATGAAAACTGAGCGTATTCTCCGTCGTCGGCGTTCTGATCTGGCTGCCACTTGTCTAGCTAGCAGAGCTGGGCACCACCTCGGACGTCCGATGACTATGAACGATTGCATGTCGCTTACCATGGCGGTTTGCAGACTCGCCCAAGCCGCTCCTGCCCGTATTGTTGCTAGTGTTTATCGTACCATTTGCAACGCCTGGACCACGTCGGCCAGGTTCCCAGGGCCTACCCGTGCGTGCCACTTTTGTAAAGTCAGAACCTGCCCTGATTCGCTCCGTCATTATCTAGAGTGTAGCTCCGTACAGTGCATCTATCCCTTGCTGCCCCATCTGTCCGAGCGCTTTCTCAATGCCAGTGGTGCCCAGCGTGCCGCTTTCCGTCCTCTTCTGCCTGCCTCGAAATCCGAGCTGGTGTCTGCTGCTGTGTGCATCGATGTCCTCTGCTCTGTTTACCACGATAGTAAGGAATCCGCACTTGTCCAGAGGGTTATTCCCCTGCGTCTCATGGCGTCAGCTCGCATCAAGAAGCCGATGCGTCGCTGGCCTGGGTTTCAGGTGCTTCTGCGATGAGGCGCGTGGTGCTGGGGCGCCCTCTCCTCCCCCCTTCGGCTCTTGTCCGCTTGCCCTCTTGTCCCTTGCTCGCGTCTTGTCCGCTCTCTCTTCTCTTGGCCCTGTGCCCTCCTCCTCCTCCTCCTCCTCCTCCCTCCTCCCCCTCCCCCTCCCTCCCCTCCCCTCCCCCTCCCCCTCCCCCCCCTCCCCCTCCCCCTCCCCCTCCCCCCTCCCCCTCCTCCCTCCTCCTCCTCCCCTCCTCCTCCTCCTCCTCCTCCTCCCCTCCTCCTCCTCTTTCCCTCCTCCTCCCCCCTCCCCCTCCCCCTCTCCCTCTCCTCCTCCTCCTCGTCCTCCCTCCTCTCCTCCTCCTCCTCCTCCTCCTCCTCCTCCTCCTCCTCCTCCTCCTCCTCCTCCTCCTCCTCCTCCTCCTCCTCCTCCTCCTCCTCCTCCTCCTCCTTATCTGTCTCCTCCTCCTCTGTCTCCTTCTTCTATGCGGCTGGGGGTCCCGAGTCCGAGGGGCCCCCGGGGACCAGGCGGACGACGCGCGCCCGCGCCCGCGCCCGCCCCCGCCCGCGCGCGTGCCCGCCGCGGCCGAGCGGGGACCAGCGGCGGGGCCGGCGGCGGGGCTGGCGGCGGGGCCGGCGGCTCCTCAGCAGCGCCTGATCGCCAGCCCGCCAGCGCGCGCCGCCGGGCCTGCAGCCCCCCTGCGTGTCGGCCAGCGTTGTGCCTTCGCGCCCGGCCGCCGCCGCGCGCCGCCGCCTCCCCAGCGCCGCCGCCAGCCCGACGGGCGGTGTCAGCTCGGCGCCCGCGCGCGCGCAGGTCGGGCTTCGCCCGCGGCGTCAGCGGCCTGCCCGGCAGCAGCGGGGCGCCTGGGGTACAGGTCCGTCAGTTGGTAGCTCAGCCCCTTCCAGGGTTCTCGCGCCTGGCGCCGTCGGCCAAGCCTTGCGCTTGCGTCGCCGCCGGCACCGCGTCGACGGCGTTGCGTTGGAGGACGCACCCGAGCGACTGGTGCAGTCGCCGGATGGCCGCCGAGCGCTCCGTGTCATGCGCGGGCGCCAGGGCCAGCGCCTCCTCGCCCAGGCGGCCGCGGTTCTCGACCACGAAGGGCACTACGGCCACCCCAGGGTAGCGGGCCTGCTTGCGCCGAACCGTGGCCGCCGCCGCCGCGCCGACCCGCCGCGCAGAGCCGAGCCCGAGCGCGTCCTGCATGAGCGCGCTCGCCACTGTCAGGTCGACCATGCGCGGCTCAGCAAGGCGGGGGGCGTGGACGACGAGGTCCTTCCGCGCCTCGGGGCTCGCCGGCGCAGCGTGGAGGAGCAGGACTTCTCGGCGCACGGTGCACCCCTGCTCCTCACGCTACTCCGCGAGCGCCGCGCAGCTCGCGTCGCGGCGGCGGACCAGCCACCCACCCACGGCACAGCCGCGCGCGTACCGCCCTTTGGGGTCCAGCGGCTCGCCGCGGATCCCGCTGTTGGGGTGCTGGTTCTGGCAGAGCCTCAATCGACTGTCGCGGCCCCGCTGCGCCCGCCGCCAGCGGGGGGCCCGCGCAGGTCGAGGTGCAGCCTGAACCGCAGCGCAATGTCGAACTGCGCGTTGGTCAGCCGGTGGCAGGGCAGCGTCGGCACCTGCAGGAGGGCGCTCGCTCCCGGGCCCCCAGCGGAGCGCAGGGCGGCCGCCGCAAGGGTGTCCGCGGCCGCTTCGTCAGCAGCGAGGCGGGCAGCCGCAGCGAGGGGGGCCGCAGCCAGAATGTGTTGCGTTGCTGTCAGTGCCTCCTCGCCGACGTGGGTGTCCCAAAGCGGCTTGGAGCGTTGCTGCGGCCGGCGGCAGGCTGCGGCGCGCCCAGGGGCTCACCGCGGTCAGGGCGCTGGCGCTCTCCAGGCCCAGCCGCCGCAAGCAGGAAGCCGCGGGGGCCGCGAACTCCACGCTCTGCAGTCTGTGACCTCCAGCGGCGCTGGCGAAAAAGAGTTTCCTGCGCGTGGCGTCGCCCAGCGGGCTGCCCAGAGCGTGCTCGTACTCTGTGGCCACCGCCCGTCCAGCGCCCACGCCTCCGCGCTCGGGATGCCGCAGAGCGCGCCAGGAAAGTGTAGTCGGAGCCCGTTCTCGTGCGCGGGAGGGTCAGGGCCGCGTGCTTGTCCAGGCACGCCGCGCAAAGGCTGCGCAGCCTCTGGTGGAGCCTCCCGCGAGCCGTTTGCAGCGCAGCCACCTCGGGGCTGCATTCGGCGAGAAGGTTCCCTTCCGCCGGCGCAGCGGCGGGGGTCGGTGGGACCGTCAGCAGTGCGCCGTGGCGGGGCACCAGAGCCCGGGGTTCCCGCTTGCGCTGCCCAGGGAGCGCCGCCAAGTCGACCTCCCGGCCCGGGCTCAGCTTGGTCATGGCCGGGTTGCCGCGGAGGCCGGCCGCGGCGCAGGCGCGTGCAAAGGCTTCTTCGGCGGCCGCAGCTCTTGAGGGGTCACAGATGACGGCGACGTCATCCTGGTAGCAGTAGCCCCTCGCCAGTTTCGCCGCCGCGGTTGCTGCCTGCTCCACGGCGCCCGCCACCCCGATGTAGCACAGAAGGAACACCTGGTTGGTGAGAGCATTCCCCTGGTCACCGCCGCGCCCCTTCGGGAGGAGGGCCTGCGTGCCGTCCCGCGCCACGTGCGTGTGCGTGGAGGCCGTGCACAGACCCAGGCGCGCCCAGGGCAGCAGGTTCGGAACCAGGGTCGACACCGCAGTCGCCGCAGCTGCCCAGTCGAACTCGCTGTGGGCGCTGCTCACGTCCAGGCCGACCTTGCAGTAGCGCGGCCAGCAGTCGGGGTCGAGCAGAGCTGCCTTGCGCATGCGTTCTGCTCCCCGGGCGCTCCCCACTGAGTACTCGTTCTGGCCCAGCGCCGCGGCCACCCTGCCACTGAACATCCGGTTCCTCCTCCTCCTCCTCTTCCTCCTCCTCCTTCTCCTCCCCCTCCTCTTCCTCCTCCTCCTCGTCTGTTTACATCCTCCCTCATCTTCCTTTCTCTCCGAGTTCGTCCTCCCGTCTCGTTCCTCCTCGTCGTTTTTCCTCATCCTCCCCTCCCATCCCCTTGAGGACTCCGAATGCTCCCAGAGGCCCCCAGAGGGCCCCCCACCCCTCTTCCAAAGAGCCGACGACGGCCCCGAAGCATGGATCCGCACCTCTTCAATCCGCTCCCCTCCTCTTCGCCCCCCACCCCGACCGCCGAGGGTGGCAGCAGATCGTGAAGTGGGTTAACCGCCACATAGACCGCGACCACATCATATCGAAGGCGGTGCGGGGCGGCCGGGGCTTGCGGGGGGGGGGGGGAACGCCGCCGCCGTCGTGGTCGTCGTCGTCGTCGCTCCTCCTGCCGGTCGTTCCGCGTTCCTTCCTCATTGTCCTTCTCTCTATCTATCACCCTGTAGCCGCACTGCCCCCCCCTCTCCTTCCACCTCTCCCCGCTCCCCTGCGTTCCCCTCATCCCCCCCTCTCACTCCTCCCACCCTTCTCCCGCTCCCTCCTCTCGTGCCCCCTCCTTCCACATCGTCGTCATCTTCCTCTTCCTTTTCCTCCCCCGCGTGATGCCAGAGGCGGGGGGGGGAGGGAAGGAGGGGGTCCGGAAACCGTGTGGTGGCAGACCCGGCGGTGACCTCGAACTCCTCAAAGACCTCACCGCAGGGTCCGTCACCACACGGCTTTGGAGCCTCGGAGGCCCCAGCCGCCCGAGACGTCCTCGGAGAACGACCCGAGTCCCATGACCGTGCGGTGACCCCGAATCCCCATCGACTCACCGCATGGTGTGGTCACCACACCGTTTGGGGGTCCCCGGAGGGCCGGCGAAGGGGCCAGGGAAGGGAGAGGACGGTGTTAGAGAGCGCGGGGAGGGGCGCTGTCGGAGAGCGCGGGTCGGAGGGAGGGCGGGGGGGGAGGGAGGCGGGCGGGAAAGAGGGAGGGTGGACGGGGGAGGTGGAAAAAGAGATGGGAGGCGGAGGAGTCGAGGAGGGGAGGCGGGGCGAGGGAGAGGTGAAAAAAGAGATGGGAGGCGGAGGAGTCGAGGAGGGGAGGCGGGGCGCGAGGGAAGGAGCGGAGTCGGGAGATGCAGAGGAGGACGGAGGCAAGGAGAGAGGGGAGCGGAGAGCGAGAGGGAGAAAGAGAGCGAGAAAGAGAGAGAGAGAGAGAGAGAGACAGAGAGAGAGAGAGAGAGCGAAACGGACAGACAGACCAGACCAGACGGACAGACATACTGTACAGACAGACAGACAGACAGGCAGGCAGGCAGGCAGGCAGACAGACAGACAGAGACAGATAGAGACAAACAGACCAGACCAGACCAGACCAGACAGACAGACAGACAGACAGGCAGAGAAAGAGACAAAGAGAGAGAGAGAGGGAGAGATACTATATAGCTAGTGGCCAGTATCCCCAAACAGCGTTTTCTTTCCACTGCGGCTCCTAAGAGTGTTCGCATGTTCGCCTGCTTCTGATCCGTCTGCGCCTTCGGCGTCGTCATCTAGCTTTTCGTGATCGTCGTCGTCCTCCTCCTCCGCCGCATTCACGTGTTCTCCCTCTCGCCCTCGCCCTCCCCCTTCCATTACACCTCTTCCTTCTCCTCTTCCTCCTCCTCCTCCTCCTCTTCCTCCTCCTCCTCCTCTTCCCCCTTCTCTCATCCTCCCGCTCCTCCTCCGCTTCCTCCTCATCCTCCTCCCCTTCCTCTTCCTCATCTTTCTCCTCCTCCTCCTCCTCATCCTCCTGTATCTCCTCATCGCACTCCTTGTCCCTCCCCCCCGTATACGAAATCGTCATCATGCTCCAGGTGTTATTCCTCCGTGTCGTGTTCTTCCTCTTCCTCTTGATCCTCTACCTCGCCACCGAACTCCTCCTTGTAGTTATCCTCATGCTCCTCCTGCTCGCCGCGCTCATCTTTGCATTCCTCGTACTCCTCCTCGTGCTCTCCGTTATCCTCCGCTTCGCAGTGCTCCTCCTCCTCCTCGCAGTGCTCCTCCTCCTCCTCTTCCTCTTCTCTTCTCCCTCTTCCTCCTCATTCTCCTCTTCCTCCTCCTCGTCTCCCTCCTCATCATCATCATCATCATCAGCAGCATCATCAGCATCATCATGCTCATCCTCACCCTCATCCTCATCCTTCGCCTCCTCCTCGGAATGCTCCTACTCGTTAACCGCGTCCGTTTCTTCCTCCTCCTCCTCCTCCTCCTCCTGCTCCTCCCTTCTCCCTTCTTCCCTCCCTGCTCCCTCCCTCCTCCATCCTCCCTGCTCCCTCCTCCCTCCTCCCCCCCCCCCCTTCCTCCCTCCGCCCTCCTCCCTCCTCCCTCATCCCTTCCTCCCTCCTCCCTCCTCCTCCCTCCTCCTCCTAATGCCCCTGCTGCTCCTCCTCCTCCTCCTCCTCCTCCTCCTCCTCCTGCTCCTCCTGCTCTTCCTCTGCTTCCTCATCCTCGTCCTTCTCCTCCTCACCTTCCCTCCTCTTCGCCGCTTTCTCCGCCATGCCAGGGATGCCTTCGCATTCTCGATGTTGCTTCCAGGAGGCACCCTCGTAAGGGATGCCCTCAAACAGGTAGCGTTTGAGCCTGGCCCCGTCTCTCTCATCCATAGTTTCTCTCGCGCAGCATCTCGGAGTTTGTTCCGCCTCTCCCATCCTGCCTCGTCCCTGCCCGCCGCACTCCACTCGAGGCATCGCCACGATTTGCTCCAGCATGGCTCCCCTCTGGTCAGCCTTTGCAGTTTACCAAGGAATCGTGCTCGCGCCGCGGCGCCGAATACCTCCTCCGTCGGGCCAGGGGCACCCAGACCTCTCTTCCAAAGCACAACTCGGCACGAGAAATGGCATCAAATGGCTCGTTTGGGGGTGTGACCCCTTCCCCGCTCCTTTTCTCCCCCCTCTGGGAGCCGAGGGTTTCCAAGGTGTCTCAAGCGAAACGGGCCAGGCCACCTCTGGCGCGACATCTCGGAGCCCATCTTCGCGGATGTCTCAAGCGAAACACGCCAGACAAGTTCGCGCACATGTCATGAGAGACCAAAGTTGTGAGGATGTTCCAGGCGAAACGAGCTGGACCATCCCGCGCACATCGTCAAGGAGCTCGGAGTTGCGAGGATGTCTCAGGCGAGACGCGCAGGACCACCTCGCTTGCAGCATCTCGAAGCCACGAATTTCGAGGATGTCTCAGGCGACACGGGCTGTACCACCTTGCGTGCGACATTTGGGATTTCAGAGTTCCGAGGATGTGACAGGCGGCACCCAGACCCCTCCGAGAGCACAACTCAACAACTGATGCGTAGTAACATGGTTCGTTTCGGTCTGACTTTTCCTCCCTCTCGGAGCCCCGAGTTTCGAGCATGGGAGCCCCGATATGCGAGGATGTCTCACGCGAAACGGGCTGTAATACCTCGCGTGCGACATTTGGGGGCTTACAGCTCCGAGGGTGTCTCTGGCGGCGCGCTTCCCCCCCAAAGCATAACTCGACAACAGGAATGTAATCAAATGGTTCGTTTCGGTCTGACCAGTCCTGTTTTTTATATCCTTCCTCTCGGAGCCCAGAAGTTACGAGGATGTCTCGGGCGAAACGGGCCAGACCACCTCGCCCGCAGCATCTCGGAGCCCCGTGCAAGGATATTTCGAGCGAAACGGGCCACACAAACACACACACACACACCCTTGTGCACATTCTCTCATAGCTCAAGGTTGGAAAGATGTCCCAGTCAAAACGAGCTGGACCACCTCTCGCGCAGCATATCAGAGGTGAGGGGTGCGAGAATGTTTCAAGCGAAAGGCGCTAGGCCACCGCTCGCGCAGCAGCTCGGAGCTCAGAGCTGCGAGGATGTCTCAAGCGAAACGCGCTGGACCACCATCTCGCGCGCGGCGTCTCGGGACTTAAAGTTTACAGGATGTCTCAAGCGAAACGGCCCGGACCACCTTGCGCGCGGCGTCCCGGAGTTAAGATATTTGAGGATGTCTCACACGAAACGGCCTGGACCACCTTGCGCGCGGCGTCCTGGAGCCCAGATGTTCGAGGATGTCTCAGGCGAAACAGCCTAGACTACCTCGCGCGCGGCGTCCCAGAGCCCAGATGTTCGAGGATGTCTCAGGGCGAAACGGCCCGCACCACCTCTCGCACGGCATCTCGGGGCTTAGAGTTTCGAGTGTGTCTCAGGCGGAACGGCCCGGGACCAGGTTTTTTTGAGGGTGTTTTTGCTCCCCTCGCCTTCTGCGGGAGTTAGCTTCTATCACACAGGCACCCCGTTCAGCCAGCTGTTTGAGGACAAATGATTCCGTTTGTCCAGGGGGGCAGGATTTGTCCGCCCCAGCTGGTGCTTTCAGAAAACAGCATCGTAATTATTGCGAGGCCCGATCTCGTTTTTGCCCGATTCCCTGGCCAGAGTTTCGGCCACGTTCGCAGGACAGTCTTGCGACGAACGCGAATCGTGTAGGTTATCGCTGCCCGATCCCATCTCCTGCTGCTCCTCCTCCAAAAAGGGAGGACCCCACGTAATCATCTTCCAGACTAATCTAGAAGCAATCCCCATCGTCGTCCTTGTGACTATGGAGGCTCTCTTCCTGTCTGGTGTCTGCTGGTCCTTGCCGACGCTTATAAGCTTGATTGAGGATGGCCACATCGGATTCCAAAGGACGCCCGAAAAAGGAACGAGGCTCCCGCTCGAGATTTTCTAAAGATTCAGATTCCCAGGTGCCACCAAACCTGTGATTTTACAAGGAATCCCGATGGCGTCCGTAGGCATTTTGGCTCAAGCCATCTTGACTCAAGGATTTTGACTCCCCGCAGAACGGCCGGTGCCCCCCTGGCCCAAGCAGACATCTCACACCCCTGTCGCGCACTGTCTAGCAAACAGTCATGGCGTCGCACCTCGATGCGCGGGAAGCGGAGCTCAGCTGTGGCAGTGAGGCGGCGTCCGAAGTAGCGTCTGGGTGGAGCACCCGCAGGGTCCTGGGCGGTGCGGCAATGGCTTGCCTCGCCTGCGCCGGCGGCGGCTTTGCGGCCGGGCACTTCGCCAACGCTCGCCAGCCCGAGCGGCCCGAGGTGGCCCGCGGTCTTCTGCAGGTGCTGGCGAAGCCGAGGCGGGAGGATTGCGCGGCGACGACAGACGACTGCTTCGAGGCAGCCTGCTGTGACGTGGCTGGGTTCACCTGCTTCGTGACGGACACGCCAGGCAAGGCTCAGTGTCTGAAGAATTGCACCAAGAGCGACACGTATGCCTGCGCGGTGCCAGTGCCAGAGACTCGCGATCCCATGTATTTGGACGATGCCGTTTCGCCTGGAACTG